TTAATAAAATTACTATATATATATATATATATCTACTTTATGTACTTTATATATTTTATTTACTATACATATGTTAATAAAATTACTATATATCTACTTTATGTACTTTATATATTTTAATTACTATATATATGTTAATAAAAATTACTATATATATATTACTTTATGTACTTTATATAATTTATTTACTATATATATGTTAATTAAAATTACTATATATATCTACTTTATGTACTTTATATATTTTATTTACTATATATATGTTAATAAAAATTACTATATATATATGATATTATATTATATTATCATTTTATTCTTGTATTATTATATATAATATTATTATATTATATTTTATATTTAATTCAATTTAATTTATTTAATTTATTTATTTATATTTACGGCATTTATACGCCGTCCTTCTCACCCCGAAAGGGAATTCAGAGCAGCTTACAAGTAATATGTAAATACAATATATTATATTATTACCTTCTCACCGTAGCACAATATTAGTATTTTATATTACTATACTGTACTATATCATGATTCTGTATTATTATTAGTAATATTACATGTAATATGAAATATATAAAGGGGACTCAAAGTGGCTTACAAGTAATACGTAAATACAATATATTATATTATTACCATAGCACAATATTAGCCAATTATATATTACTATACTGTAAAAGTAAAGGTCAAGGTTGTCCCATGACATGAAGCCCAGTCATGTCCAACTCTAGGGGTTGGTGCTCATCCCCATTTCTAAGCCAAAGAGCCGGCGTTGTCCATAGACACCTCCAAAGTCATGTGGCCAACATGACTGCATGGAGCGCCATTATCTTCCTGCCGGAGCGCTACCTATTGATCTACTCACATTTGCATGTTTTCGAACGGCTAGGTTGGCAGAAGCTGGGACTTACAGTGGAAGCTCACGCAGCTCCCCGGAATCGAACATGCAACCTTTTGGTCAACAAGTTCAGCAGCTCAGTACTTTTGTTAGAGACCCTAAATTGGGTCTTCTTAGGTCCACATCATGGGAACACGTAAGGGAGGAGACAATCCCAAAAAAAGATCAAAATACAAGGTTTATTTTAGTTTCTTCATGAAGAAGACGGACAGCCTGGCAGCATATGCAGATGCTACCCTTCAAGTGACTGCCGCGCCCCCTTGGCTTTTGTACACCGTTATGGCGATCAGCGAGTGGCGACGGGGGCAGGACTGTGAAATCTGGAAGCCCCTAGTCACAGACTGGCACAT